AGAAGAAGAAAAAGAAAGAGAGAGAGGAAGAAAGAAAAGAGAGAGAGAGGACCAGTCGACGATAGCTCTCTCTTTACTTCACCCTTTTTTGTTTCAATATTTTATTCCCCTTGGCCAACCTTACCTCGAAGAATCAACCCCGTCTCTCTATCTCGCAATTGCAAAAACTTGCTGGAGTAGCTCCCCCTTGGACACGATCCTGAACTTGCCCCCCCCCCCCCCCTTCCCTTCTCTTCCCTTCCTTCCTTTCCCAGTACCTTGCAACCGATACCTCGAGGGGGTTGCTCAGCTTCCTTCTCCTTGCAGGTCGCACACGCAACCCGAGCGCTGGCTGCCTCTCTTTTATTATTTGCAATTGCAGGGCTTGTTGACTGATCTCCCCCCTCTCCCCCCTCCCCCCCAGGCCTTGCGGACGTCAACTCCAAGCGTGGAAATCCTGGGCAGAGTCTGACGTCATTCCTCCAGCAGGACGTCTTCCTCGAGCGGGGAAGTCCCTTCTCGCTCCTGAAGAGGGGAGGGCAGGAGAGGGAGGAGGGGAGGGGGGGAGGGAAGGGAGGGAGGGAGGAGAGGGAGGGAGGGAGGGGGGAGGGAGGGAGGCAGGGAGGGAGGGGAAGGGGAGGGAAGGGAGGGAGGGAGGGAGGGAGGAGGGAGGGAGGGAAGGAGGAGGAGGGGAGGGAGGGGAGGAGGGAGGGAGGGAGGGAGGGAGGAGGGAGGGAGGGAGGAGAGGGAAGGAAGGGAGGGAGGGAAGGAGGAAGGAGGGAAGGAGGGAAGAGGGGAAGGAGGGGGAAGGAGGGAAGGAGGGAGGGAGGAGGGAGGAGGAGGGAGGGAGAGAGAGAGAGAGAGAGAGAGAGAGAGAGAGAGAAGAGAGAGAGAGAGAGAGAGAGAGATGAGGGAGTGGAAGTGAGAGAGAGAGATGAGAGAGAGAGGGAGAGAGAATGAGAGAGAGAGAGAGAGAGTGGAGTGGAGAGAGAGAGAGAGAGAGAGAGAGAGAGAGAGAGAGAGAGAGAGAGAGAGAGAGAGAGAGAGAGAGAGAGAAGAGAGAGAGAGAGAGAGAGAGAGAGAGAGAGAGAGAGTGGGAGAGAGAGTGAGAGATGAGAGAGAGAGAGAGAGAGAAGAGAGAGAGAGAAGAGAGAGCAGAGAGAGAGAGAGAGAGCAGAGAGAGAAGAGGAGAGAGAGAGAGAGAGAGAGAGAGAGAGAGAGAGAGAGGAGAGAGAGAGAGAGAGAGAGAGAGAGAGAGAGAGAGAGAGAGAGAGAGAGAGAGAGAGAGAGGAGTGGAGTGGGAGAAAGACAGAAAGAGAGAAAAAGAGAAAGATAGAGAGAGAGAAAAATCAAAACTGTAAAACAGTTTGATAATAAAAGAGACTTAAAAGCTAGTGATAGGAGCGCCACCTAGGACAATCCACCGCTTTTCAGTTTCAAATTTCCCGCCAAGTAGCCTCCCCTCCCCCTCCCCCTCCCCCGACGGACGAGGGGTAGGAGGGGCTTGGGTTGGGAGGGAGGGAGGGGGGGAGACAAGGAGGATATCTGGCGGGAAATTTGAAACTGAAAAGATGCTTGCTCTCGCTGGCGCTCCAATCTCCCGTTTATTCTTTTCATTATCAAATTATCTATAATATCTAGACCGTATATTTTATCTTATTTACCCTCTTTGCTTAGGACATTGACTTATCATTTGATATACTATTCTTATAAGACATATTACCTACACATATTACGTATAAGGTCCTTTCTGCATTTTCACTCGTTTGTATGTCAATAATTCAGTTGATTGTTGAGCATCACACACACACACACACACACATTTACACACACACACTCTGGTGATGACGTGAACATTTCTCAGTGAAGCAAAAAGAAGGAAATTCCCTAAAACTGTGGTTAGCAAACTCTTGGAACGCTTTTCTGCACATTAATTCATTACATATACACACATACATATATACATACCTACACACACACACACACACACACACACACACACACACACATACACATATATATATATATATATATATATATATATATATATATATATATATATATATATATATATATATATATATTATATATATATATATATACACTTGCGTATTCATCAGTATTTATATCTAGCTATATGCATCACTCCGTCTGTGGATCCCACAAGGCGGCCCCCCCCCGCCCCCCCCCCGCTGCGCCAGGAGGCCTCGACGCGAAGCCCAAACCACCTCCGTTTCAAGCAGCAACTCTCCCGCAGATTCCGGCGCCACTGCAAAGCTCTTGGAGACGGCGAAGGCACAGGCGAAGGCGCTGCAGGACCTCAGCCGGGAGAACAACCAGACGACGGCCGCGATCCGGCAGCTGGGAGGCGAGGTCGCGGGCGTGCGGGAGGAGGCCGGCTCGCACGAGGGAGAGATCGCGCAGCTGCAGGAGAACATTCGCGCGGCCCGACGGACGGTCGAGCAGCTGACCCTGGAGAACCGCGACCTGTGGGCGAAGGCCAACAGCACAGAGGGCCAGG